AAAAAAAAAAAAAAAGAGAGAGAGAATGAAGATCCTAACCAAAGGAAAGCAGGATGAAGAAACTGACAAACTGTGGTAGGCAGAAGGGCTCCACAAAGGTGTCTGTGCCCTAACCCTGGAACCTATGAAAATGTTATGTTAGATACCCAAAGGGATTTGCAGCTATATTAAGGCTACAGACCTTGAAATAGGGAGATTATCCTGTCTTATCCAAGTGGTCCCAATCTAATCACGTGAGCCCCTAAAAGCAGAGAACTTTCTGCAGCTGAAGTCCAAGAGAGGCAGCAGAAGATGAAGTCAGAGAGATATGAAGCATGATAGAGATAGACTTGACCTACCATTGCTGGAGAGAGTCAATGGAAAACATGAGAAGGCAGGCAGGCAACTGGAGGAAGATCAGTCCCCAACTGACAGCCAGCAAGGACCTCAGTCCTACTACCACAAGAAACTGAATTTGGCCAAAAAACTTGAATGAGCCCAGAAGAGGATTCATCCCTAGAGCCTGCCTGAAGGAACACAGCCCTGCTGATACCTTGATTTCTGCCTTATGAGACTCTAAGCAGAGAATCCAGTCTAGCCCACCCAGACTTTTGACCCACAGAAACTATGAGATAATACATTTGAGCTGTTATAAACCACTGATGTGGTAATTTGTTATGGCAACAATAGAAAGCTAATATATAAATGTTAAAAAAAATTAATAAGAAACAGGAAAAAATTATAGGATTGACATGTAAATCCAAGGGCTATTTCTTTGAAAAAGTAATAGATGAAGTTTGTCTTACTCTAAACATAAAAAAAAGAGAGAAAACATAAATATTAAAATTAGGAATAAGAAAAGAGAGTGTTATAAATATCTATGATCCAAATAACATAGCAAAAACATCCACAAAGCTGAAATTATAGACAAAATGGAAGCCCAATACTTATAGGAGGCTTTAATTCACCTCTCTCAATTCAAGACAGAAGAAGTAGATCAAAAAATAAGAATACATAAGGGCCGGCCCCGTGGCTTAGCGGTTAAGTGCACATGCTCTGCTACTGGCAGCCCGGGTTCGGATCCCAGGCGCGCACCGATGCACTGCTTCTCCGGCCACTCTGAGGCCGTGTCCCACATACAGCAACTAGAAGGATGTGCAACTATGACATACAACTGTCTACTGGGTCTTTGGGGAAGAAAAAAGGAGGAGGATTGGCAATAGATGTTAGCTCAGAGCCGGTCTTCCTCAGCAAAAAGAGGAGGATTAGCACGCATGTTATCTCAGGGCTGATCTTCCTCACAAAAAAATAAAAGTTAAAAAAAAAACAAATATGTGAGGAATAAATGGATGTAGGTTTATTTAAAAAAAAATACATAAGACCCAACCAGTAAACTATTTTTTATAGATCAACTGAACTTTGCACCCTAAAAATACAGAATGCACATTCTCTTTGAACGTGTACACAATTTTACTCTCCAGCCACCAAAAAACCCCCTCAAAATATTCCAAAACAAAAACTGTTATACACAACAAATTTTAATTACAATGAGATAAAAATAAAAATGAATACCAGGATAACAAAACAAAAAGTCCTTAACTCGGGGTAAAAACCCAACAACAACACCTCTTCACTGTTCAATCAAAAGAAAAATACAATATGCAGTTGCAGAACTTCTAGGAAACAATAATGAGATCACTACTTATCAAACCCTAGGGGATATAGGAATAAAGAGATAAATGAATGGTCAGGGAAAATTCACAGTCGTAAATACTTATATCAGTAAAAAGAGAAAGAATACATATATATATATTTCAAAAAGTTAGAAAATGATCAGCAAAACAAACCGCAGGAAAGGAAAAAAATAAAGACAAAGGCTTAAGTTTGTGACTTGGAAAATAGAATGGAAGCAGAATTAAAAAACACATGAAAAGACAGGATCATTGGAGAACAACCAGTATAATTGTTAAGGCACAACTAACCTAACTAATCAAGGAGAAAAAGAAAAGCAGAAATAAACAAAAGGATAAAATGGCAAGGGGAAAAAAAATAAAAGTGGAGGAAATTAAAATAATCCTAAAAGTAGTTTGTACAATTATATGCAAATAAATTTCAAAATCTGGATGCAATAGATTTCTTTTTTCAAGAAAAAGTAATTTACTAAAGCTGCCTCTTGAAAAGATGGAATGTTTAGTCAGACCAATTTCCATAGAAAAAATTGAGCAAACATATAAAAGGATGCCCTTTCTCACCAAATCATTAGGCCCAGATAGTTTCAGAGGCAAAACTCCCAAATCCTTAAAGAATAGATAACTGTAATGTTGTTTAAACTGTTTCAGAGAATGGAAAAAGAAGAGAAACTTCCAAATGATTTTTATGAAGTTAGTACAATATTGATTCCAAAATCTGAGAAAGATTGCACACAAAAAGATTAATCTTGTTTATAAGCATTGATGCAAAATTCTTAAATAAAATATCAGCAAACAGTATCCAGCAGCACAATAAAAAAATACATCATAATCAAGTGCAATTTATTTTTTCAAAAAGCAAGGATGGTTTAATAACAGGAAATGTATTAATACAAATAATTATCCTAGTGTAGCTTGGGAGAAATATTGCAAAGGTATTTGATAAAATTCATAATCATTCTTTTTTTTTTTTTAAGATTTTATTTATTTTTATTTTTTACCCCCAAAGCCCCATTGGATAGTTGTGTGTCGTAGCTGCACATCCTTCTAGTTGCTGTATGTGGGACTCGGCCTCAGGATGAACGGAGAAGTGGTGCCTCGATGCGCACCCGGGATCCGAACCCGGGCCACCAGCATCGCAGCGCGCGCACTTAACCACCAAGCCACAGGGCCGGCCCATAATCATTCTTGATTACGAAAAAAAAACCTCAATAAAATAGGAATAGTTGTGTATTAAACATGTTTATTGAAAAAACTTACTTCCTCTCCATCATAAGGGAAACACTGAGGGCATTTCTGTTCAAATCAGGAACAACAGCAGGATGCCCACTATCCCCACACTACTATTTAGTATTGTACTGGAGTTATTTAAAGCAATTAGAAAAGGAAGAGAAATTATGTGTATGAAAATGGAAAATAATGAGGTAAAGTTATTACTACTTAAAAATCATGTGATTGTGTGCCGAGAAAAACCAAAAAATTCCCAAGTGAAAAATTACTATAATCAAAAGGAGAATTCACTGTTGGTGGAGTATAAAATTAATATACTTCATCTTGTAGCCTTCACAACATACAAGTAGCCAGAAGAGATAATGAAACCCTATTATAATAAACTAAAAAGAAAAAAGATAAAATCTCAAAGTACATTTAAGATGATGCCTACATGAGGAAAATTTGAAACCACTCCTGAATGATATAAAAGCAAACTTGAACAAATAGGAGGCACGCTATATTCCTGGATAACCACTCGCATTATAACTATGTCAATTCCAAAGTTAACATATAAACTTAACATGATTTCAATAAAAATTAAAACAGAATTTATCTGTTGATTTATTTGCTAGCACTAGACAGGCTGATTTTAAAATCATATGCAAAAACAAACAACTATCACAAAGAAAAGGAAAAAAAGAAAGCAATGGAAGGGACTAGCTGTACCAGATATTAAAAATACTGTAGGGCCTCAATGATTAAAATAATAATTAGACATATTTTATATTAGGTAAAATTCCAAATGGATCAAGATTTTAAGTGTAAAAATAAAGCCAAGGGGAGCCGGATGGGACCGGAGTAAACTATGTGCCCCTGTGAACGTTCTGCTCTTGATAAACTGGCTCCCATAAACAAATAATCAACACCAAACACTCATCTCCCCCAGCTCCCAAAGGATTTCCACTTTGTTCTGCCCAAATGACTTCAGAGGAGATGTGCTTGTCTCACCTAAGGTATGTGACAAAGTGGAGCACAGAAGACTTTGCATTGGCTCCTTTAAACCATTAACTGGGAAGATGAGAAAGAGGCGAGACATTTCAGGCAGAAAAGAGCACAAACAACGTGGAGGCCATGCAATATCTTGGAGTGAGTGGGGACCTACCTGCAGGTAGTTCAGTGTCACTGGGTATAAAGAGTGAGCCAGGAAGCACAGGGGGGATGAGCTGAAGAGATAAGCAGGGGCCAGTGTAGAGATGGCCTTTAAAGTCCAGGCCAATGGACTTGTCTACTATTTTGTAAGAGACATAACCCATTGTAGGGAAGTAACATGATCAACTCACGTTTATTAATAATAATGGCTTCCATGGGAAGTTCCTTTGCTTATAATCTCTGATTCTACTGTCTTTGAGGGGAACCCAGAGAATAAGGAAATAATGACAACAGTGGAATCAAGTAGCACACGCTTGTAATCAGAGGCTGTGTTGGAACACAGGAGGCACTCGTTAAAAATTTGTTAATTGAACTGACATTACTCATGGTGTATATGCATGAGCTGTTATTTAAACTCTTTGGAAGAGTTCTTTTGAACAATTACCACTTGACTAGGCATTTTGATGAGCTACAATGATCTTATTCTGGCAGTAACATGTAATATAAGAGTTCCATCTATTTTCAATTACCTTCATATCCAAGTTCTTAGAAATAGTTTCTAGGGCAGACATGAGCTCTTGAATTGTTTTCTCAACTTGCCGGTGTTCATGCCTGATGAAGTGAATGTCTCCAGAAAGCTTCACAATGCTGGAATCACATCTAGTGGCAAGATGGAAATTGGTTGTGAGATCAATAGGCTCAAACATTTTTAATACTACAGTAGGATCTGTGAATTCATTTGATGGCAAAAGTTCTAAAGTTCTTTGAGCAACGAGTTGGTAGATGTAGAACGTATACAGGAATCTCCTTCTTTATTTCCTGTTCTTTTCCTGATGGGAGAGAAACCAGGTTGGATAATGATACATTGGCCCAAATCAAAGCACTGAGTTGGAGTACATGAAGACGTGGGGGAAATTGGGGAAAATTTTAGATTTTCAGCCTGATGGATTAACCTCAGTCATAGGAGTTCCAACAGATTTTGATGTTTTGGGGATACTCTCTCTTGGAGTTTGGTTAGGCAAAGTGGAAACTTTTTCCTCTTCTATATTGCATTCTGGATCCACTTTCCTCCCTTTAGCCTCTTTCTTGCTCCCAGATTGTCAATTCTCCAATGGCTAGAAAAAGTGTCCCAGCCCACAAAAGTCTTCCAACTCATCTTCAAAAAACAATTTCCCTCCTCTTCCCCAATCAAAACTCCTGCTCCTTGAGTGGCTTCAGTCAAGTGTTGTATTATATTAGGACAAAAACAATTCACACTAACATGTGAATGAAACTTTGGCCCATAAGGTTGCATTCAGTATTTTAAGGAAGGAACTCGAGTGAACTGGGGTTGGAGTTGAAGATTAACCATCTTCCCAGCATGTCAGGGAACCCTGCTCCACTGTCCCACTACCAACACTCATGGCCTCTCTTGGGAGAGCGTGGTTATATACTGTATTAATGATCAGTTTCAATATACTCATATATGCATGAAAGATAGGATGGAGAGCACTGAAGGGCTGTAGCTTTTGTATACGAGTTATCAGAGATCACAATGAAGTTTGTCATTTTATAAAATAACTATTTTGATTGTCATCAAATAATATTTATTAGGAACCACATTTTCATGTCGTCATGCTAAGTGCAATTAATATTATTTGTTTTATGACTGTTAACATTTTCTAGGATCCAGAAATGAATTTCTTTTTCTTAAGATTTTGGATGCTAAAGTTGAGCCAAAGGTGAGTTAAGATGGTAATTTCGCCTGAGAAATCCCTCGAGGGGATATCAGGTGACTGTGGTAGGGAGTGGAGAGACTGCTGGGAGGAAAAATTAGGAATTAATCTGATCAAAAATGGGAGCTGGGTGGTATCCAATTCACACATTTGTATATATAAACTGTTATTGTCAGAACAACCTCTCTTGTCGGTCAATTAGAACATTCTTATGTGAGTCCACATGAAGACCCCCAAAGACTACACAGGAGTAGTTGTTGCTACCACCACTCCCTGCCCCTTCTTACCCAACCCCCACCTTGTTCCCACTCTCAGGGACAGCTGGTCTATGCATTGAAGGCTAGTGGTTAGGAATTTGGTTCTGGTGTCAGATAGACCAAGCTCTGACTCCAGCTTCTGCTACTTCCTAGGTTTGCCATCTGGGATGAGTTTCTTGACATCTATGAGTTTCAGTTTTCCTTATCTGAGAAAAGGGGGTAATGATGCTGAGGTCACTGTATATAGCTGCACAATTTGTCCACCAGGCAACTCCAGGGGCTGCCAAATGCATGGGCGACAATGTGAACAGTGTCTCCTGGAGTGCTGTGTACTCAACCTTCAAAACTGTACGTGGCTATCCTGAATAATGTAATTCTTAGGGTTATTTAATGATGCAAGGAGGAAATGAATGCAAAACATTTAGCAGGCACCTGGCACAGAGGAAGCACCCACACAAGATCAGCAGCTATTATTTATTTATTTGGCTTGAGAGTTGCCGTCTATTCATTTTCACCCCTTCTCCAACCAGCCTAACCCCACAAGCTGAAGTCAAGGATTAGTGGTTTTTCAGAGCTGCACGCTATGTTTCAAAAGGAAGTTTCTCTTCCTTTCCTACTTTGGAGTGATTTTATTGTTCTGTTAAAATAATACATGCCCATTATTAAAAAGTTACACGAAATACAAAAAAGAGCATAGAGGAGAGTTAACATCATCCCAAATCCCACTTTTCAGAAATTATAATTGTTAATATTTGGTTTTTATTCTGTTCATCATTATACGATACATATATTATACATGTATAAACATATACATATATATAATGTGTCTATATTTATATATATACACACAGAGATAGTAAGAAAGATAGAAATATAATAAAATAATTTTAGAATATTTGGATTATATTATATATGCCAACTTTAGTTAAAAATATTACGCTGAATTTTAATTTAATTTAACCTAAGGAAAGGTAACTGTAGTGAAAAGTGAAGAAATTACTGAACTTCAGATATGTATATATTTTTTCACTATAAGAGATATTTGTTTCTATAAAAAAGTTATAAAAAGCTATCATAGATTGGAATCATACTTTTTACAACTACCATTTCAACTCTACACATTATCTATTGAAAACATGCCAAAAAGTGAGAAAATAAATGAGCTTATATACCTGTTCTTTCAACACTTTTTGTTAATATTTTGCTATTTTTAAAATGTCAAATTTTATGACATTTACAGTGTGTTCTGTAACTAGATTTCCCACTGTTATTAAATCTTTTTTTTTTTTTTTTGTGAGACATCAAGAGTATATTTTATTTATGAGCTACATTTGTGTTTAGATCAAGTATCAAAAGCTACCAAATCAGAAGATTTCATTGTATGTTGTCTAAGGTCTCACTCAGTTGTTATGTTTTATGGTCATACTAATAGAAATTAAAATCCCACTAATCTTAAAGGAAAAGTTTTCAATTTTCCACTGCTGAGTATGATTTTAGCTAGCTTTTATTATGCTGAGGTAATTTCCTTCTATTCTTAGTATGTTGAGAGTCTTTACTATGAAAATGTGTTGAACTTTGTTAAACACTTTTTCTTCACCGATTGAGATGATCACTTTTTTTTTTCTTCTTTGTTCTCTTACTATGGTGTATCATATTAATTGACTTTCGTATGTTGAGACATTCTTGCATCCCAGAGGTAAATCCTGCTTGGTTGAAGTATATGATTCTTTTAATGTGCTGCTGTATGCAGTTTGCTAGTATTGTGTTGAGGATTTTTGCATCTAAGTTCATCAGGGATATTGGTCTGTAGTTTCCTTTTCGTATAGTGTCTTCATTCACCTTTGGTATCAGGGTAATGCTGGTCTTATAAAATAATTTTGGAAATGCTCTCTGCTCCTCAATTTTTTGGACGAGATTGAGAAAGATTGTGGTTAATTCCTCTTTAACTGTTTGGTAGAATTCAGCAGTGATGCCATCTGATCCCGGCCTTTTCAGGATGTCCACTCTTGCCGCTTCTATTAAAAATAGTACTGGAATTCGGAGAGAATTCTATTTTTATGCCTCTAATATGCATTTCTCCTTTCCCAAATGTGTCACTGGAGTTGCAGTAGAAGATAAAGTAAATCCAAAGCCCAAAAAAGCTGTCCTCCAGCAGCAGGAATGCAGACTGCTTTTGGCTCTGCCAAGTCAACAGGAGGACTCTTCCAAGGCACCTGCTAATAGGCCCTGAGTGCATCTCGGTGAGGGGTGAGACCTCTCCAGGGACTGGGACACTGGCGGCGGCCACCGCCGTGGCCCGGTGTGGGCGCGCTGACGCTACCGGAGTTCTCCCTGAGGCCCGCCAGCCCAGGTCTCTATTTAATCTTCATTTTATATTTAGATTCTGTGTTTGTTGACAGTCCCTTTAAACTATGATTTTTTTTCCTTATTTTGACTTAGTCCTTGGTTTGCCAGATTTTGTCATCCAGATTTCAAAAGAAGGGCTCATGAGGCATTGGAATCTTTAAGTTCCTGGTGCTTGAGAATGCCTATCCGTTCTCTTATACTTGAAAGGTAATTTGGTTAAGATAACATTATTGGGTCACTTTTTCTTTTGTTCAAACATGATAGACATTGCTCTATTCTTTTTTTTTTGCTGGGGAAGATTTGCCTGAGCTAACATCTGTTGCCAATCTTCCTCTTTTTTTTTTTCCCTTATGTGAGCTGCCACCACAGCATGGCCACTGACAGACAAGTGGAGTGGTTCTGTTCCTGGGAACTGAACCCCGGCTGCCGAAGCGGAGTGTGCAGAACTTGAACCACTAGGCCACCGGGTCTGGCCCTACATTGCTCCATTCTCTCCTGGCTCTGTGTGAGGTGGAGAAGTCTGAGGTGACTACATTTTTTCTTTCCTTTACATGATCTGTTTTGTCCACCTAGATGCCTAATGATTCGTTTTTTTTCTTCTAATGATTCTTTGTCCTTGATGTTCTGTAACTTCAACCAAGATATCTTGGTTTAATTGTTCTTATATCAGTTTTTCTGGGGTCACAATTTTCCCTTTTGATCTGCAGATTCAAATCTCTGTTTCAAGAAAGTTTTGGTCTCTTAATCCACGAATATTTTTTTATTTTCTGAAGAATTTGTTCTGTTTCTCCTTCAGGAGCTCCTATTAGGTCTATGTTAAATGAATTCTACTTGTCTGCCATATACGTCATTTCTCTATAACCATTTTTATATTGAAAAGCATTTTCTTTTTGTTTTGTGTGGTTTGCTCATGCTTTTTTTTAAAAAAAATATTATTTTTTTGTTTTATTTATCCTGTTTGGGGGCTTCTAAAGTAGATTTAATCTCTGTATTATTTTAATTTTTTCTTTCACCATATCCCTAAGCAGTTCCAATTTATCTATCTCCTTTCGTTATCTGATAATCTCTTTTTTTGGGAGAAATCATTTTATCTCTTATTTTTATCAAAGTAAAACATGCTTATAGCATAAAAGTCGATAAAAACTAAAAGGCTAATAACAATCTCTGTGGTTCCTTGCTCTGCCTCGCCCTGCTTCTCTCAGTTCCTCTCCCTGGAGGCAAGTGCCCACCTTTACCCACAGTTTCAGAGGTTCCTGGTGCAGCTGACTCCTAAGCCTTCTGAGAATTCTGTGGTGTCAAGTCACGTCATTCTCAGCTTATCCCACAGCTTTCAAATTGGTTT